GCGTCCATGTCTGGGACTGACTGGCTAAGTATCCGTGTCCACCACACGCCTCCCTGCACTCCTGGATCCCCCTCTGAGCGGTCCAAGAGCCCAGTGGTTTGCTGGAGCAGCCAATGGCATGGATCTCCCGGCCCATCTCTGCCTATGAAGGGAGGAGGAGGGAAACACCAGTTTGTGCAGAATAGGACTGGTGAACACGCGTCTCATGTTTACTCACTTGTCTGTCACTGTTGTTCTTCATCATCTGTCCGATCTGGAACTCAATAAAGTTCATGAAGATGGATTTGGTGAAGTGCTCGAGGGCATATGCAGCTGCCAGGTATGGGATCAGACGCCATTGCTAGAAGAAGCCACATTCCAAACGATACAGTATGAGCTGGTCGGGCATGCAATTTACACTCATTTTCAAATAAATGGCACACATCAGCCAGTCCCACATGGCTTTCTTGGATTTGATTGCAATCATCTTTCTTTATGAGGAAATAATCAAATCTGGAAAAGGCAGAGTTTTTGAGAGTAACGACTACACGCTTTTTGTAAAGGTAGCAGATTTCTCTTTACATTCCATTTCCTCTCATGTAACTTTCATCAACTTTGAAATCCAGTATTTCAAGCTTGATCATGTTAGAGCTTTTATTGAGAAAAAAAATTGTTCAATTCAGTTTTGTCTTAACCACACTGACCCCATTAGAGTCACTAATAAATGTTAATCCTGTTTTGGCCCAAAACTCAGACTCTAACTCATTCTAATTTAGGGAATTTTGTTGCGTTAAAGTTGATTTTGTGTAGTCAAATGTAAGTGCATGGTGGTGCACACAAATCCATGCAGTTGTTTTAGTAAAGCCCAAAGGGCGTGTGCAATATACACTTTTCTGCATAAACATTGTTAAGACATCAGGCCCAAGATAATCTTTTTTTATGTTCACAATTAGACTTTCAGTTTGAAAGAGTGTGTTCATTCATTTGTCACCATTGCACCAGCTGAAGGCAAAATCAAACCATTTCTTCCATGTAGCATCTTATCATCTTTCCGTCTACATGTTTCTTTTCTATTCCAGTCCTACCTGTAACTGATACTCAATGACTGGAATCTCTTCTTTGTCATTGGGTCCAAACTGTCTTCTGCTGGCAGAGAAGCGTATGGCCACGATCAGAGCCAGCTTAAGGTTTATCAGAGCCATCCTGGTGATGTATACTCTGCCTCCTGAAAGGGCACCTAGAGAGGCCCCAAAACGCTTTTTGGGATCCTGCGGGAGAGATTGGAAGCAGAAGACAGAAAGCATTACTGGAAAAAAAATCAAAGAGCAGACGTTTAAAAAAAAAAGTGTTCTTAAACAACAAATATAAATGACTTCTGAACAACAGATTTTTGTCTCTCTCAAACATGCCATCTTTGTCCTTGGCTTGATCATTATGGTCCTTGCTAACGGTATAGTACTTGTATGTTTGTGTATTCTACCCCCTGTTGTTTATTATCATAGTTCATTCTTCATAAACCACCTAGTTTATACATGTGACCTATGTGCTTCCCATTGGCTTTCTTTCTCCATTATTAAGGAATATAGACATACATTGTCTGTTGTAATGGATAAGCAAAAGATCACAAGCTACAATGTAAAAATGATCCTGTTGAAAGAAAGAAAATTCTACACCAACTGGAACAGGCCCACTGCCAGATGGCATTTCCACAAGAAATGCGTTTATCAGAGGAGGAGAACAAAGTATACTACTGTTCACACCGATCGGGTTGTCTCTATAAACAGACACATTCATTTTACACAAATATCAGTATGCACAGACACTGAGGGGGAGTACGTTTCAGTCAATAGATCAGGTAACGGTGTTCAATTTTCCCTTGGAGATGTATGTGCATGGAGAGATGTGCTCGTATTCTTCAGAATGGCTCTGGTCCACTGCACATGATGGGAGATTTAAATGTAATGTTGCAGCTAATAGACTGACTGCAACATTACAGCCAATTTAAAAATAGATTTCTTTAACTCTGCAATGGTACCATCCAATCACAACACTACTCAGGTTAAATGGAACATATGGCTTCTGAATTATCTACAGAGTGAGGAGAACAGAGATCATAATCGGTGGAGAAAATGAAGTTGGATCCAATTTTTTTCAGCCTAATTCAAAATGAGTGAAGTGCTTCAAAATCAATTCTTTAAAGTAGACCTTGGACGTTTGGAATAGCAGTACGTCCACAATAAAATAAAAACACAGGAGGGATTTTAATTGAAATCCTTATCCATGAGGCAGGTGTGCAACCCAAGACTCAGCATGCAGAGCCCCCCCCCCCCAGAGGGGCCTCTGACACCTAATAGGACCGCGCCCGCCATGTGCCCTAAAGTCCAATGTGTATGGAAATAATTCTTCTATCCTATCTCACTGGTTCTGTACCTGTACTCCTCACAATGACACTAAAACTTAATCTAATCTAATCTACTAACGATCAGTTAAAGTTCTTGAACATGTATGATTTGTCACAGCATATTGCAGTCACGTGTCAGTCAGTCTTTGCTTTTAAAATATAAAACCTTTTTTGAAGAATTTGGCTTTCTTTGGAAATGAGAACAAACCTTAAATGGTGTCACGTAGCGGCCATCAGGAGTAATGTCCCCCGTCCGATTCAGCAGGTTCTCCCGTGGGATTCTCACATTGTGGAATAATGCAAATCTGTTCGGGAAAAAAAGAAGACATTAAGAAGTATAATCTTAAACATAACATGGACATAATTTATGAATCACAAAAACAACAAAAAACCTGCATCGGTGTGGTGGTGTTCCCGGACTGAGAACTTTTACGCTACACTTAGTTTCACACTTTTAGTTTAGTCTGATCGGTCTACCATTACAGGACTTTGTCTCCCACAAACAACTGACCTACTGTTTGGATTATAAAGGAAGCACTCGTTTTAGTGAGCTGTTCATTAGAGTGATGAATGGAAGTGGATGGAAACATTAGCCTGCTCTGTTCCACTGTTCCAAATCCTACAGAAACCCTGAGCTGGTGAGAGGGACTTTAACTTTGGCAACATTGATTTGGCTGTGAGTGGAGCTACAAATGTTGAACAAGTGCGAAAAGAAAGTGAATTTTGCAGACTTGTAGAATATTTCATTTATTCAGTGTGATACAGGCCATGTGTTCTGAAAACTCCAGCTTTCTATGATGGTTTGTAGTCATTTCCTTCAGCAAATGTTTTGTATTTGAGGGTCCACTTTTTCCCTATTCAGAAATGTTAGTTTAGTTTGTCTTTCCACTCCAGAGTTTTTGACTTCAACCCAATTTAATATAGTTCATGAGGATTTTTTTCTGCTAGTTATTACATTTTTAGTAACTTTACTGAAGCTCAGAGGTACCATATTCTAGTTTGATTATCTGTATGTTTGGTATTTAAAAAAAAAAGAGTAAGTCTCATTTTCCAGCTTTCTCAGTACTTTAAGTATACCATGGTTTTGCACCACCATCTTAAACTCTCAGTTAGTTCATGAAAATTAGTATTATGAATTTTGCTCTGTGGCAAAAGAATGAACACATCCACTGATCTAGTGGGTACCTACCCATTATCCAGTCCATTCTGGCCCAGCTTCATTCCCATGTCTCCAACCAGCACCCCAGGCAGAGCCAGCAGTGTTTTGGGATCTCTCACCTGCAGCACAAAGTTATCTCAAAGTTTTCTCTAAACAGGAAGTCTGATATCTCACTGATCAAACTCACATCTTTAAAAAAAATAATTAAAAAAACATTTGAGTAAATTATATGAAAACAAAGCACAATTCGGTCCTCTCTGCTCCACACTGAGAGGATGGAAGTTGGATTTTTTTTTAAAAGTATTTTGTCTTTAAAGTAAGCAAACAAGTTCTATTGGAGCCCAGCTCAGTTGATATCAATACAGTGGTGTTGTCTAGCTTCTCTCATTTTGGTGGTACAGCTTCTCATGTGGTGTTACAGAAAATTCTCTTATTCCTTACTTTGGCATTTTGATATGTATCTACCTTCATGTTCATTCCTCATTCCACAAAGAAACAACTCTATGGAGGACTGAAACTGCAAGTTGAATAAGTACAAAAATGTATCCAAGGTTAAAGAAATAAATTTATATGAATATGTTGAAGATTAATGTATGCAATAATGTCAAATTATTCTCAAAGAATTCAAAAGAATTTTTTGTTTGTTGTTCTTCATTTGGATTTTTCTTATTTCTGTAGAATTTCCATTGTTGTTACCCAATACATTTTGTTTTTTCAGAGAATGTAATGAACTAAACCTTTCATCTGCTGGTCAGTAATCATGCAGCAGAAATACTATTTCTAAAGACTAACCAGAAGTGGCAAAAAAGAAACAGTGCCAAAGCTACAACACAGCTTGAGACCTCATTGGACCCGTATAGCTTGTGTTTTTTGAGTAGCTAACTGGTCTGCTCAAAGTGTTGTAGCTCTTGTGGACTGCACAACACTAGGCTGTAACTCTATACACTGACAATGTCTCATGGGTGACAGTAACTCAAAATGTAAGACAAACACTATGACATAAAACCAACTTCATATCTAATTTTTCATCCTATCAAATAGTTGATTTATTAAGATATGTTTGTATTTCTTTTTTGGATTATGGCAGTCACAGAACTGAACTTCATCCAATGACTGAGGTTCAAACTGGTCTTTTCAGGTGTGCAACTGTGAAACTTAGCAACAAACAGCGGGTTGTGTTATCAGCTCGGTCTTACCGGGACGACGAAGGAATGCAGGCCGTGGCAGACCTGCTCAGGGGAATAGAGCTGAGCGAACACCACCGCGTGGGTGGCAGTCTTACCCAGGTTACCCACCCAGAACTTGGCCGCCTCAAAATCTGGAGAGTTGATCACAAACTCCTACAGCAAAGACACATTGCAAACAGCACAAAGTATTTAATTAAATTGAGTAAATGTGAAAAAAAGGAAAAACTTAAGGTGTTAGCAGACCTGAGTGGTGGGGTCATACGTGGCTGTGGTTCTCATAGCTCTGGTGTTGCTGCCATGGCTCAGCTCAGTAAGGGCAAAGCATCCAAATATCTGAAGATAAGAAGGGACTTTTAGGCCATTTATAACCTGATGGAAGTGGTTAGTGGTGAGACGGTGTGTCCTCCCACTTCAAATAAATCCCAAAAGTACTGGAAGACATGGCTATCGGCAGCTTTACCGGTGTGTTACTCTTACCGTCATGTCCTCTGTGCTTTCAACGTATTTGCTGTGCCTACTTGACCCTGAACTGGCAATAGTTGCTCCAAACATCTGAAAAATAATAAAGACTAACATGGTTGACTGGTACAAACAGTGATTCTTTATGGAAATATCCGCACAACAGTAAGGTTTCCCACAGCTTGAATAAAGGCAACCGGACTTCTTGGATCTGGAAAACATTATACCTGGTCCTAAAGGCTTCTTCAGCTCTGAAGTATTAGCTGATAAAAGGGAAGACTTGATACAGTCTGGACCCCCGGTCAAGGTGAGTGCCATTACAGCCATTCTCACCTGTAGATTGTTTAACTGTCTGAGTCCAAAGTGTGAATGGCTGTGGACCTCCTGAGGGGGGGGGACAGAGCTGGGAGATGATAACTGAGACCCCCTCATGTTTTAAACTCTGTTTAACACAGATGGCCTCCTCTACTCAAACCACCTGTCTTCTCTGTCCAGAATGTGAACATCACTGCTCTCATTACTGTTTTCCTGTGTTTCTGGCTCTTCTATGCTGTGCATGCGCTTATGGAGCTGCCGTTTGCTCTCTCCTCTATCTCCTTTACAGAAGTCCGGACAATTTGCACTGATCTGCATAAAACGCTGCTCAGTTAGACCTTTTTTTAAATGATTCGTTTATTTTTTATCACCAGTCTCTGTCTGAGGTTTTTTTAGGTTTGAAGTGCACATGAACGTCATGCTTGTAGAAAATCCTTCTGAGTTTCTCAGAAGCTACATAAAGCATAACCACATGGGTTTTCCTTTTCTTCTTGTCTCAGATGTAGATGTCCTGACTGATTTGACAAACACGAATGCAGTAGTATGGAGTAGACAGAAAACGTTGGTCTAAATGCAAACAGTAGTGAATTGAAGACATGAACCGGCACACACAGACTCACCCCTTTGTTGAGGAAGAACTTGGCCACCAGGGCCCAGTCATACATGCCGAGACAGTCATCTAGGATGGCAGCCTTCCAGGGATTGCCCATTGCCTCTTCCAACGTCAGGAAGTTGTAGCGAAAGAGCTGCTTGGCCCTGCAGATTTTCAGTTTCATTGTTTTCTTCTGCACAGCGACTAGTTACGTATATACAATTGGGGTACAGCTTGAATCAGTGCACGCAGATAAGTGGACAAATGAATACCTGAGGAAGGTCAGTTCTCTCTTTTTCTCAATAGGGACATCCTCTCCAGGCTGGCGGGCAAACAAGGGGTCATTCTGAAGCGTCGTGAACACATGATGCTGCCGCAAAAAGAAGTAGAGGAAAAAAAAAAGTCATTAATAGTAACCTACTTATGCATCTCAAAAGGAATTAAATTGGCAGTATAGTGAATTGTTAAGTCTGAGGGAATTATGAATGTGAGAAATTCCCAAGTAATATTGATTACAGACAACTAAGGAGGGAGATGTACAGAAAAAAGCTGAAATGCAAACACCAGCAGAACAACAAGGGGGATGTGTGGTCAGGGATGAAAGAAGGTCAGACTGATTCAAAGGAGACACTGTTACTGGCTCTTACACCTCAGACTGGAGGAACAACTCAGTCCTTTATCTCCAGAAAAACTCTGATTACTCTGCAGTGTATCAGTGATGGAAAAGAGGCAGAGAACAGGGAAGTGATCCCCCCCTCTGAGCCGTACTGTGAATACAACCAGCCCATCTTAAGACAGAGGAGGTGGTTTTACGAGGAACAGGAGTAAGCCCAACCCCCCTTTCATCCTGGAGAGGAGGTGGAAATAGTTCAGGATGTGAAGCAGAAATCTAATTCTTATTTCAGAGGACAGAAGAGGGAACACAGAGGCTACCTGTTAGTGGGAGGAACAGGCTAAAAAAGAAGAGGTTGGAGTTCCTGAGCATAGTTGATGATACTCCCTTTGATCAAACTGAGTCTCCAATAAGCAGTGTGTAGATGTTCCCTCTAAACCACTAAAAAACTACAGAAAATGTGTTATTACCTTGAACTGAGTTATTTCATCTCCATCTATGAAACGGAGCATGTCCTTCCAGTTGAAAGAGGCTTTCCTCCTGTATTCAGCCAGAGGACCATTGGGGAAGTCAGCCACTTCGAACCCCATCGTGCTTAGTTCAGACTGAGGGAGCAAAGAAAAAGGAGTTTAAGGTTCCCCTTCGCTGTCATTATTAACCAAAGTGAGGATGGCAAACTGTGACAGGTGTCATAACCCCCCTGCCCCACATGCCCCCCCCTGACCACCTACTGGATGGTTTTACATCGCTCTACAACCCAACGCTGGACATCCAAAGAACCACCAAGAACAGGGAGGTCTGATACAGTGTATGCAGCTGGAAAAGATTAGGCATACTCTAGGACCGTCTAGGGACTAATTCCTCTTTATCTGGAATCCAGAACTGATGAACTTAGACCGAGTCAAAGCCAGGCCTTCTTAATCTCATTCAACAGTGTTTTATTTCACCCTCATTATTACCAATTTATCAATTTACTGATTTTGGATTTTTTTTAATGCATGTATTTCTTCATTTTGCTATCTATTTATTTACTATTTGTGATGACCTTTGCTCTGGACGAGTGTCCCTGGGTGGGTCAAGTGTTTGTTTGACATACAAATGTAAGAAAAACAAGCAATACTCTAAGACTATGTATATATTTACATGTATCTAATCTACTGTTGCTCAATAAAAATATATTTTTTAACAAAAAAAGGAGGGGTGGTTGCTTAGGGTCAACTGCTTTAGAGTCCTCTTCTTTTCCAATGTAGAAAAACTCTTCCAGGACTTCAGCTGTCACCTTTATTTGTTTAATTGCTTCCAGAATGTTTCAGAGAGGAAAAAGCGTAATGTCTCCCTGTAAGCAGCAGTGAGAGCTGGAGAGGCACATCCAGATGTTTCCGTTACTCTCCTGCTTCCAGCGGTTTAGCTTCCTAGAGTCGGTTCTGGACCGGCCTTAGTGTGAATACGGGTCCAGCTTTACCGAACCGGCTCTCGGTTCTGTTCCGAACTGTTTCTTGGTTCGGAGAAGTCCACACAAAGTGAGTTCCGGTCACCTCCGCGTCCTTCCCGCCACCTCACCCCGCGTCCCGGTAACCCTCCGCTCACAACCGTACCGTGAAAGTCTGGTCCAGTCTGGTCCCGGTCCGGTCCGGTCCGGTTCAGCTGCTCAGAATGGAACCAGCTCCTTCCCCCCTTATCAAACTGAACTCTGGACCGAGTGGGGCCAAGGTACTTCCTGTTGTTCTTCCCTCCCCAGCAGAAGCAGCCACGCTTCCGGTTGCGCCCTTTCAGAATAAGGCTCTGGCAGGTTGAAGACGCTCTGGGCGTCCGCAGAAGAAGAGGTGGGTCCAACTGACAGATTTACGGGAATGAATGGTGTTCTGTCCTCGTAATTTTCAGATGAAACTGCGGTGTATCGTTTGACTGGTTGTTTCGTGGTCGTTTATTTTGAAAAGTCAGGGCCTTGTTGGTGTGGCCTCTCACCAGCTGACTGAACAGCTGGTTTAGTTTCCTAAACCAGTTTTCCTGGTTTAGTTTGCAACCTACCAGCATGTATGTTGCAAGAAAAGAAGACCTTTATAAACAAGAATTGACGCCTTGTGTAATTTTTCATTTCTTAAGGTTATTTCTGAGACCCATGGAAAATCCCAGGTTGAAGCTATCATTGGCCGAGAACACACCTCCCAATGATTAATCTCTGCATTTATATATACAATTAAAATAAATCAGGCCCTCACCAAGCCTTTCTAGATGGGGCAAAGCAAATTCAAATCAGACACAAATGGTGGCTCTTTTTGGTCTAACAAAGAGGGAAAGAAGAAAGTAATCCGAGAAATCTCTATCTACTTAGTTTTCTGATACTTTGTATGAAATTAAAAAACAATGTTTTAAAATCTTTAATTGTTAAGAGGTTGTATGAGAGGCTAGTGTGATTTTCTGAGTAAATTCAAATGTTTCTAATGACGTTTTTTGTCCAAGGTAGCACTTTAAAAGTAAAATAAAAATAACTGAGCAAAAGGACTTAAAACTGTGAAAAATCTGCATCTGCAAATATGAGTGTTTGCAGACTGTGATTAACATCCCTTATCTATATGACTAAACCGACCCAACACAGGCCCTTTAATCCAATGTTTTGGTCTCTGTAACAGAATGCTGTTATTGATAATATCAAATGCACTATTTCTATGATTGATATTGTGATTATTGTTATAGCTGTTCAGAAGATGTGCATGTTTTCGTATGTCTTAATTCTCATATTCATATGATCTTTTCTTTGTTTTTTATACACAGACTCTTGGGTTTCAGTTCTGGTCATTGTACGTGTTATTCTGTGGTTCTGTGGTCAGTCAGTCTATGCATTCACTCAATTCTCTTTATTCAGTTAAAGCCATGGTTAACTTCTATGCTGCCCCTTTATTTCTATATGGCTGTGAGGGAAATGATAATGGAACTCATTCTTTAAGTCTGCTTTCAACACTCTGTGATGGACGCCTTCTAAACATAGATCTGTTCTTAGATGCTATTCCAATAATGTAAGCAGCTCTAATATTCAACTGGAATTTTGCTAAATTGTAAATACCAGTGTGTCATTTCAAGTGTAATTCTCATCCCCCGTGTTTTTAATCTTACAACAATGAAGCCAAAATGAACACCTTGTTTTTATGTAGGTATCCACACTTGTGTTAAATGCAGAGTAAATGACAATTATTTTTAGAATATGGTCAAAAGGTTTTCCGGTATATTCAGTCCTCCACAGAAATGTAGTTTATGTTCTCCACATCCACAAAATGGCAGCAGGTATGATGTGTCTGTCAGAAGACAGCAGTGAGATACATCCCCTATACCTGTGAAAGCTAGAGTTCTTCTTTTTCTGTATGTTACATATGTACTTTGGATGGTCATTACTGCTACTGGTAAAACATTAACTGCTGAAGGCATGTCAAGGACAAGGCTCATTCTGGTGAAAGACCCAACAGAGAGATAATGATCCAGATTACAAAAAACACGCAGATCCCACTGAAAGTAGGTGCTTGTGTATGGATAGGTCCATTTATGATAACATCTTTCAGTAGAGGTTCCAGAGATGATGAAACCTGCACTCTGTTCATTTCTGACCACAGAATATCTCCCAGACTGACTCTGCCTTTAAGGGTAAATATTGATTATTACATAACCCCCCAGAGAGAGATTCAGATGTTTGGTTATCTGACAATTAAGGAAAATGTGTTTGGCCTTTCACTGTGAACTGGCATTACACACAAATGCTATTTTAAAAGCAACAAGAAGCTTCATAAACTAAAAGGTAGAAAACTTCAGCAAACTGAATCAAACCCAGTTGAACAGGTGGTAACTGCACTCAGTGGATTTTTCTGAAAGTGCTGTTGACATTCTAAATGTTTGGCCAACTGGGGAAATGCTCTGTTTATCTCTTTAGCCCCTGTGTGTCCGACCCGGTGCCTTTGGTTTGCCTTTACCTGTCTGATACAGACCGCTCAGAGCCACCTCTGCCCATCTGACCTGGAAAATAAAATACGTCCTATTGAGAGTACATGTTTTCATGTTTCTCTAAAACTGTATCTATTCTTTTAAATGCTAATCAATCAGTTTGGCATTCATCTGCTCTAATTAACCCCCAGTTTTTAAAGGTACCAAAGGTGCAGGTGACCGTTTCAAATATTTCAGAGTCTCTGAGATAATTACACAATTTTATTGAAAAATTCAAGTATTTACATTTAAGTGGTTTGGGTTTACTTAGTTCTTCAAAGCGTGCATATTTCCATCCCCTTCTGTTTTAAAAAGTTGGGAAATCCTTGACATTCTTGCACCATGCATTTTTAAATAGAAGGTAAGTGTTAGAAGACGTGTGCACTTATGATGACAACTTCGTGCCATCTCCAACTCTGCATGAAACTGGACCCTCTGTTGTCTACTGCATTATGATATCTGGTTCGATGTTAAACAGCAGGTCGTCGTTGTCCCTCCTGATCTCCAGCAGCAGGGTGGCCTCTTCCTGGAGCGCCCCCTGCAGGTCAGTGGTATTCAGCAGGGGTCTGCCGTTCAGTTTCACTATGATGTCCCCGTGTCTGATCCCACCCCTGAACACAGACGCATCATGAGAGTTGGCACATATTCAGCATGCATTTTCATTTTTAAATAGACAAAGGGTAAACTGTGTTGAAGGAAAAACCCTACTTTTCTGCAGGAGAGTGAGGAACGACCTCGTGGACGTAAATCCCACTGGTTACGTTTGGGAAGTCGGGATTTTGTTGTTTCAGCTCCTCGATTAACCTAGAACACACACAAACACACACACACACACACTCAGATTCATTCACCTGATAAAGTTACACTAAAGTAAAAACTGCGTAATGTTAAACCCTCATCCACACGGCAGACCAAAAACACCAATACAAGTTTTTCCTTCCATTCTAAAACACATCCCCCTTTTTTAACACTGGGTTGTATAGTTATCTTGACAAATTACAGCATTTGTCCCTTTTTTGTCCCACAGTGTAAGCAGGCAGATGGCCGCCCACCCTGAGCCATGGTTCTGCTCCAGGTTTCTGCCTGTTAAAGGAAGTTTTTCCTTGCCTGTGTCGCCTAGTGCTTGCTCATGGTGGGAATTGTTGGGTTTCTGTAATTAACTTCAGAGTAGGTCTGACCTGCTCTGTTTGGAAAGCTGTGAGATAAACAACTGTTGTTGTGATGTGGCACTATATAAATGAAATTGAATTTAATTGAATTAATTTTAATTTTGTAATGTCATTGTCTGAACGTGTGTTTGGACTGATTTTGTATTGTGTGATTTTGTGTTGTTTGGTCTTCCTGCCTCAGGACCACAGATGTAAACTAGCAACTATGCTAGAATCTGGCTCATTTACAATTTGTATGATTGTTTATTAATGTGCACTGTCCTGATTAAATAGATAAATAAATAAAATAAAAAAAATAGGTGCATTGAGCACAGTCACAAATCTGATGGCATCACATGCAAATCTTTTTTTTAAATGTAGGTTTGATTTGAAAAAAAACAAACATTTTATATCCAGTTTCAGAATATGACTCGCACTAAATTATAATATGTGCATGTGGTCATAACGGCATGTTGCGCTGCCTTCCAAGTCAGGCATTACTTTTGTTTTTGTCTTTTCATGTATGGTACATGACAGATCCTGTCAGGTCCCACAGGGAGACCCTTTTTCGACTAAAAGAAGGGAGCCACCAAGGACTTTTCTACACATTTTCAAGGAAGCCACAGAGACTGTTAGCATGTATGGCCGGCACCCTCCCATCTGCCTCGATTTAACAGGCCCTCCAAGCCTCCTAGATAAGGATGTTTTGGCAAAGTTCAACTCAGGAGACATCATTGAGAATAAAAATCCCCTGTGTCAGCTCCTAAACTCCATCAGATCCTAAGAGGAAATACACTCAGACTTCCTAGCTGCTACAAGGAGAACACAAGATGCATGTCGAGTACATAAAAATGTCTTCTGACTTTTAAAGTTACTGAAATGTCATAATTGTCTTCCACTTTCTTTTGATCTTTATCAATCAGAAAACAGATTTACATGAGTTTTACCACTTGTTCTTACGTGGGTGTAATGCTCAGCATCTTAATTCCAATGAAGCGCTTCTTTATTGACCTCAGATCTGAAAGAAACACCAGATAGTAAAGTAAAGTAAAGTAAAGCTTCTGACTCATGACGTTTTTAGGTCCTGAGCTGGTCGTATCAGGGTCTGACTCACCTTTGCTGTGCTTGTCTAGTGAATCCTGGAGAAAGAGAGTGATCCTGTCTGAGGGAATGGCGAATGAGATCCCTGCTGCCACTTTTAGGGTGTTGATACCGATCACCTCCCCATCCTAAAACACAGCACGGACACATAAAAAACACCATTCCTGTCTACCCGGTTCCAGACTGAGGCTGCTTCTCACTAACTCTCCTTGGAAGGAGATGGGTACCGCGATGGGACACTTTCCCTGTTCATTTACAACTTATTTAGTTCACATCTGTGAAGTATTTAAGCATAGAAAAAGGATGGAAGTGTATGAAAAAGACAGTAGTACACCGATGATAGCACAAAAGAGGAAAGTAGTTCCTAACTATTATTAATATTATTTGCTTTTGATTTAAATGCTTGTTTGTACAAGCATTTAAAGTGCAAAGTGATTTGACACCAATAAGAGCAATGATAAGGTTTGCCTCCATCATAGTTCACTGATGTGCATGTGAGGCCAAATCGTTCCTCAAGGAGAGTCACAGTGATTGTAAACTAAACATTTTAGGGCCACTGTCACCAATGATATGTAAAATGTCCCAACTATTTCAAAACCAGCAGATAACAAAATCTCAATTTTAAAATAGAGCCATTAGAAAAACAGGAAGAAAAAGCTTACCAAATTGACTAGAGGCCCTCCGGAATTTCCATACTGTCATGATTTAATATAGACAAAAACAGCAGTTATGTTACAAATGTACTGTGTAAAGATCAAATAAAAAGACTGACTGACTGCAATGTGCTACATTAAACATGTTTTGTATCATTACTGGTTAGTTCTCACGTTGATAATGGCGTCTGTCTGGATGTAGTCCATGTCTGAGTCGAGGAGGCCCAGCTCTTTGCCGTCTCTCTGCGCGGTGCTGATGATGCCGGTGGTGACCGTGTTCTGGAGAGCAAAGGGACTCCCAATGGCCACCACAAACTCCCCCGGCCGCAGGTCTGCGCTGTGGCCCAGAGACAATACCGGCAGCTTGGTCTGGGAAAAGCAAAGCACACACATACTGTGGGTACCGTACACATGGAACCATCACAAGACACAACCCACCAGCGGAAACCTTAAAGTGAATACATTTGTATTCAGTGAATGATCATTTTTCTAATTGATGGAAAACTATATACTTCTTGGGTAATAAATGAAGATATTTTCCAAGGTATTTTCTTTTTTATTATGTCCATTTTGCAATAAAAGTCTCACCTCATCACTTGGATTACACTACAATACTATTTCTAAGACCTATGCCTTAACACTTTACCGTTTGTACTCAGTGTTCTGCCCATTTATGCCTTCACATATTCTTTTTTTTTAATAATTGCGATGCCATTATGTCTGTCTAGTGAGCATCTGGACAGCAGAATTTCCAAAAACGGATTTTTATCAATGTCATTTAGAAGTAGAATAAAAGTATCGACCATAGATGTCCACTGACACCAAATAGTGAACTGCCCTGAGTTGAAGCACCTCGCTGTGCACTGAATTCACTCACACCTAAACCAGCATCTACATAGATCTAATCTACTTACACAGAATTAAAAGTTCTAAAAATGAATCAAAGAAAATGAATGTCTTTGGAGGGGAGGAATAAGTCTGTGGAAAACATTCAGTCACCCCAGAGAGAACCCAGCTGAAGACTTTGGTCTGAACTTATAAATGTCTTAATGATCGTTGGCCTTCTTATTGATCTGACTTGCTTTTAAATTATGAACCCTCGTGGACCCTGAAGTCCTCTGGTACTGGTCTTTTGAGCTTGTTCCACTGGTGTGTTCCTCATGTGTGGAACAGTCTGCCAGAACCTCAGGCCTGCAGAGACTGCTGGTGTTTTTACAGAGGCTAAAAACTTTTTAACCTCGCCTTTTCATTGGAATTTTTATTCCATTGGAATAATATGTCTATTATCATTATTTTACTTATTGATATGAGGTTGTTTTCTTAGGCCAGTTACTAGAGTGTGAGAAAACCTTTGTCTTTAATGTGTTTTATGTAAAGCACTTTGGGTTACTTGTATGAAAGATGCTTTATGAATAAATAAATTGAATTGATGTTAGAAATACCAACAAAAAATGAATGGGAATTGAAGCCAGACATTATTCCAGAAATGACTGGAGCACTTGGGGCTGTGAGCCCAAATTGTTAAGTGGATCAATTCAGGGAACAGTATCAGAAATCTAGCTAAGATTGAAACCTCTGACTCCCAGGCCTCTGGCTTCAGAAAATGTTTTTTCGGTTTTAGAGACATTGACTCACCTGTGGATTAATCTTTATTGTGGCAATGTCTGATTTCTTGTCAATGTCTTTGATGCTGGCTTCATAAACATCACCGTTTTGCATCTGCACCTACAGGAGAGAACAGATTCATTACATTTTAAAACCACTTTGAAGTAAAAAATAGTTTTTTTCACACAGCAGTATCAGGTATATCTCATTTTAAGTAGTTTTGACACATAAACTATCAGTAATAGCTGTGGTAAACAAAAACTGGAGCTGGGTATTTTTAAAGATATACACTATGTTATTCAGGACATTTGAACTTAGACAAGAATTGGCATGATGTTTTGTGTGAACCAATGTTCAGCAGTACATTTTCATTTGTCTCACCAACACAGTGGTTTTAAGAGCAGTGTTTAAATACAACTAAATTATGACTAAATAAGACATAAAAAGCTTTTGAATCTCAAACGTGTATGAGTGTGAAACAGTGAGATGTTATTTTGGACTTTTAATTGAGAACTGAAAAGTTGTTGGAAAAGGCCAGAGAACAATCTGATGTGAGTCTTTTAGATTTCCTTTTGTTAACTATCTTTAGTTAGCTACCTGCATGGTTGTGACCTTTTGAATGAATAACCATCTGTATCGTGAATATTACAAAGCTGCCCGTATTCAGCAAAGTATACAAATTCTGTCTTGTTTTCATTGATTTTCAGGAAGTTCAAATTCATCCATGACTTTGGGTGGATTTGGGATGATCATTTACAGTCAGTACACTGCTAATCTAAGATATCTCTGGATTGGCTCTGAGCACTTCATGTTTTGGGTTATCCTGTCTGAACAGACAAGATCTGGTTAAAGTGTCTTTTACTGGTTGAATTCCTGGAGGCTTCTTGAGTATGTAGGGAAGGAGATGACAGTGACTGTACTCCAAACATCAGCAAGCATAAATGCAAGAAAACTAAAGAGAAAATGAGTTCGGGAAAATGAGAAACATCACAAATAATATGTATAAAAATGTGACCGTTGCCTGCAACTGTGCAACATTATGTTACGCACCTATTCAGCAAACACATATCACATATCTTTATTTCTGTAACCTACTTGTTTGTTAGTAAATTATGTATTAAAATTCACTCATATGCCAAATACCATCACAACACAGGGGTTTTAACCAGTTTAAGTTTCAGGCTTGCGCCATGTGAGAGTAAGTTTTCCTTTTTAAATTCTTGTTGTCAATAATGTGCATGCTGTAGCTCCCACTAGAGGAATTTGACCAAAAAAGGAAATCCTACACCGATGTGTCAGTAAAAAAAGTAGAAAAATATTCTTGTAAGGGAGGGCGTGAGAGCGTTACGCACTTTTCCATAAAAATAGACAAACATGCACATTCCTCGTTCTATTGGCTGTGGTGAATTTTAAAGTTACACATTGATTTATAACTACAGATGGCAGAAAACTTATAAAAGCATGGCACCAGTTCTTTAATGGGACTCAGAAAAGTAGGCAGTGGTTGCTGCTCAACATATTTTAAAAAGGCCATTAATAAAAAATGTACTTATAAAATATCTACTGTATGAAGGAGGCTGCGTACCTTTAGGTACTGTTGACCGGACACAGACGTGGTGCTGGAGACCACGTGGGCATTGGTGAGAATCAGTCCACTGTCTGTCATCACAAATCCAGAGCCACTGGACAGTGGGATGTTACGACCGAAGAGAGGATGTCTAGGATTAAAAAAAAGGTCAGTGAATTCTGAAGAGCGGGGCATATTTCTTCAGCCCCCTGGGTTTCACATGTTCTTAAGAAACAGGGACGTAGCAGGGCCTGTCGGAAACTTTAGCAAATATAAATGGAAACACAATATAAAATACATTTACTACAGTATGGATATTCAATGATAAGATTTGACCCAAGTTCATTGAGATAATATTTTTTGTGATTTGGTCCCATGTGGATAAAACTAAAAGGAAGGAATTCATTTCTTAAAGTAGTCTTCAAAAAGATATTTCCAGGCTTTCTTGAAGGGCACTGCAAGTCTTCTTTGTCTTTTGGCTTTCTTTTACTCTTTCTTTGTTTAAATGATGTGGAACTGCTTCAGTAACGCTGAGGTCCCTCCTGAACAATGGCTTCTTGTGTTTGGTATTCAGGCCGGATCCAAAGAGAAACACAGGTAAATAAAAATGGGTGATTGGTGTCTTCACAGAGAAGGTGTCGGTCACCAACACTTCTCTGGATTCCATGATAATGAGAGTTTCCAGCTCTGACCAGTCAGGGGTTGTGAGAAGGCTGGAACTATTTTCCCTGTAGCGTAGTTGTTCTGAATGGGTTCCTGATGGTGGCAGTAAATGTTGGTGGTGAGAGTTGGTAGGCAGTGCTTAGCTAGGCCCTGAATAATCCAGTGGAGACTTCCTGGAAGGCAGACATGAGGTAAACATTAGGATAGGTGTGAATAAAGGGACTTATCTTGTTATATGTGGTAAGGTGGCTAATGATGAACCCCTTTAGGACTATCCTGTAATGAGAGGAGATCTTAGTATTTACGCTGCTGAATCAGCATCAGGACTCACATATGAATATCCAAGCAAAATATTGGTGTAGATTCCTGATCATCCAGCTCAAAAACTCAAAAACTAACCTTGACCCCATTATCTTGACAGCCCCGTTTCCATGCAGAGCATTTCTGATGAGGCTTGGGCCAATAGCAGACAATCAACTGGAGGTCCAGATGACTCTCAGCTCCTGTTCAGCTCTCTGCTGGATCTGCTCCTCTTTCTGAAGGACCTCACTTTGAAATGCTCTTCCTCTGCTGGAGATGGTTTTCAAGGCCCAACTCTTCTTCTTCTGTCCTCCACTTGTCCAGTTTCCTCAAATGTTTTAAGGACTCACTCCACACTAGCTGAAATCTGCACGGGTTTCAGCCAGCAGGTCCTTGGGAATCCTCAGGAATCCTGTTTCCTGTCTGTCAAACTGTGTTATATTTTTTACACATCAGCTAAAGAAATGGGAAAAAATTATGCGTTTTTGTGACAAGCTGCTGGTAACAAAGAGCCTAAAGATCCAATTCAAACTGCTTCTTTGTGTGTGAACACAACACTGTCCCCTTGGGATGGGGACCTTTTCCCTGCCTGAGTGACTGATATATCTGAGTTTTTGTCTTTGAAAATGGTAATGCTTGTCCCTCTTAGACCCCAGAGAAGTGGAGGAAAATGGATGGATGTATGGATGGAGAACAGTCAGAGGAATAAGAAAATATGTGTTCATAAAACCACTAACTGCTGTTTGTAAAGTCCTGTCAGGATGTCTTATAGTTTCCATTCACACAGAACGGTTTTTGACCTCATAAATCATTGTTGCGTTAACACATTGAAAGGCAATGGATGAATATCTATGAGTTGCTGTGGATTTGAATGGCTTATCAATGTATGGCAAACACAAACACCTATTTTCTCCTCTCCCTTTTCTGAACAATAGCTGATGAGGAAGTGAAGCTATTTACAATAACATCTGTTATCTGAAAGACTGTCAATCCATGAGTGACTGGTCAAATACTGTTAGTAAAATGGCTGAATCTACTTGATTTTGTCATTATATTATTATTCAATTTCTCATTATTCCAGACATTAATCTCAAGGCTTTGTCTAAATATTTTAAGGATGGTGGACCATTCGTATCCATCAGAATAGACTGTTTGACAGTTTATTTGCAAGATCAGCAGGAAGACTTCAACCTATTACAAATGCAACACAAAGTGGTTCTTACATGACACAGAATCATCCTGGTACATGGGTTCCTACACTGACTTCTTATTCAGAACACAAGCACGTCCATATCTGCAGACCTTTCAGCTCCTCTACTTTCCCTCGTTACTAAACAGGGTACACACAAAAACTGGATTCATCTTATGAAGGCTTGCCATCATCTACAAAAAGGAATTGTGCCCTGACAATTAAATTTAGTTAAGAATATGTCCCAAGAACATCACTGAAACAATAACACACAGACACACGCAGCTATTACCTGAGGAAGAGCTCAATGTGCACCACAGCAGGGGCGATTTTCTCCACCACGTCAGCTATGAAGTTGAACTTGTAACGAGGACTGGCAGCATGTGAAGGTCCTATTCTGGCAAGAAGAATTGAAACTTTTGTTAGGTTTTTAAAAAAATCCGATGTAGGGATATTTCATAGTATTGAAAGAATTGAAGATCTCACTGCAGCAAAGAAGACCTGTAATCTAAACAGTACGAGTAGTCTTCATTGCATTCTTACCTTTTTTAAAACAACTGTATTGTTGGTCGGGGAGGAACTCTCCTCCACAACAAAAAATCCACCTCTAACATAAATAAAGCCCTGAGCTGACAGAGGTAGGGGTGAATCATTTATTCTTTGGAGGGTAGCTGAGGAGTGGTTGTTCAGCATTTGCTGGGACAAAAAAGTTGCATCCACAATGCATTACACACCGCAGCAACAAACTATCCTGTTGGAAGGTTTGTCTCAGGAGTGTGCACCAGAGCTGGAGAGATGATCAAGTTGTCCATACAGCTATAACGTAATCATTTATTGTGCCTGTTCATACTGCATCCTTGACCTCTTGGCCTCCCCCCATAAGGACAGCTTATTAATAAGTTCAAAACAGTGTCTTTATTACAATGACAAAGCACGTGTTCTGGAAGAAACTGCCATCGTTGGCCTCCAGCGTTATTCTTGGAAAGCTGTTTTACCACACAGTCAGCCATCTGTTCATGCTAACACGCCTTTGTTATGGCTGGAACACCTGGTTAGGTCAGGTCTGCTGGACCTGAAAAAGGCCCCTTTCTGAAAAGATAACTGGAAGATTTCTAATAAAAAGGAATTTTATTAGAAAACTATTTCCAATACGACAACCATAAAAACCTGGAGGACATTAAACAACATCTGAAAACCTCCTGTTGCCTTGATATTCTACCAACGGATGTTTAAAAATGTCTCAAAGTGTTTGGCTTCTGATCTTCTACAGACTGTGAACTTGTCTCTTCTTTCAGGAATCTTTCCCCAGGCCCTGAAAACAGCAGTCATCAAGCCACTCTTAAAAGAGAACAATCTAGACACATCACTAATGAGCAACTATAGGCCAATATCAAACCTTTTTTTAAAGTAAAATCATTGAAAATGCGTTTTTTCAGCAACTCAACTATTTCTTGTCACTAAAAAACAGTTTTGATACCTTTCAGTTGCACCACAGCACTGAGACGGCTCTCGTTAAGGTCTTTAAAGACATCCACCTAAACACAGTGGCAAATTTTCAGTCTTAGTATTACTTGGTCTCAGTGCTGCATTTGACACGGTCGATCACGACATATTACTAGACCAACTTGATCGCCTCTCCAGCCTCCATGCAAGCTTAGCTATAGCTGTAACAAACTCACTGAAGAACAATACCAGGTTAATGATCCAGGAGCACTCTCTGAGGATGGGAAAATACCCAGAAGACGGCATGGTGCTGTTGCAGAAGTGCTGCAGACTCAGACCCACGCTGATTATGTACCGTTTTAACACAGCAAATACGCCAAACTGGGAAAGATTACAGCGTTTGCTAATGTTTTGTTTAGACACATCTATCAATGGCCTCAGCAAAAATAATTTAAAAGATCCAAAAATCAGCTTGTCTTCCATACTGAATACTACACAGAGGATGGTCCAGTTAGTGGGCCAACATTTGTTTAGAATAAACATTTCTTTCTCAATGGCTACCTGCTGAAACAGTGGAATGGAATGAGAAAAGGTGTGTGTGTGTGTGTGTGTGTTGTGAGGTTGAACACGTGAGTGATGGAGTGTGCAGGGCTTTAACTGATCACTGTCATTTACCTACTCTGTGAGGGCTGCAGATCAGAAGAGTTTGAAGTTGTGTTTGATTCCTGAATTATAACTTATGATCATCTTTATAGAGCGTTTTATTCAAAATGCCTAATTCAAATACCTATGCCAGGAATGTGCTCATATATGTGGTCTTATCAGACATCAAAATACAAGGTCTGACAGAGAAAGAATCAGTCAGCTCCTCAGCTATGGGAAAGTTCCTCTCTTGTTAGTTTTATAGATTTTATAGTATCGACCATTACAGTCCACCTGCAGCTACCTACATGGGCTCTTGATCTAATTGGCTTTTTGTGTTTTTTCCTGTGCTTAGCTGAGCTTGAGCAGGAATTAGATGGACAGAATGTCCATGTTTACACAGAAAGGAGACCTGTCTGTTTGGGTTTGGGACTTTCTGCCTGTCTGCTGGCCAGAATAACAGAGAGGATCAACACACACCTCTGCTGTCATTCCAGACATAGAGACGAGAAATTCCATTAAAAATCGGAGCACCATTGACATGCAGCTCCAACTTTGAAACTTTTTTACACTTTTAAAGACATTTTTGAAGATCTTTTTAAAGATCCTGAGCAGTGTTGGTTCCCTTTTGCACTTTATCCTCCTGAGACCCCCCCCAAAAAAAGTGTCTTCAAATGTCTTTTTTGTTGTGAGTTTCCATGTATTTGGACCTAAAAAAGAACATTACAATTTAAATAAAAAAATATATATTTTTTTTATTTTAATTTCATAGCATGTCCACTGTGGAGGACAACAGGACGATTTGCATGGGGAAATAGAACAGGCTTTAGATAATTAAATAATAAAAAAGAAGATGTCTTGAAAGGGATATTTACCTAAGAACTCTTAGGAAAAAAGTAAAGTTCCCAGCATGCAAACCTATCACATGGCACATCACTGGAAAGCCCAGGATGTGCTCTAGAACACTATAGGGCTTGATAGGGTAACTGCAGATACTTAGGGGGGTACAGGTGGACAAAAGGTCCACTATAATGGACATAAATGAATGGGCCAGGTCTCAGGAGGATATCCCTGACTAAAAGGGAATAAGAAAGGGGAAAGGGACAGCAGCAGAAAGTAAAGCGAACATCCGGGCTGTTTTCCCCAGGTAAAGCGTACCTGTGCTGGCCTGGCACGGTCCCTTCTGGGTCTGGGTGAGGGCGGGGTGTCCCTGGAGCGTGCCCTCCCGGCTGGCCGCGCGCAGCTGGCACGCGCTGCTGTAGGTCCTCCCGTCGCTGCCGCACACCGGCTGCCGGAGCCTGCACCGGCAGGACCCAACCTTAACCCTAACCCTAACCCCGGCCCTAACCCCGGCCCCGGCCCCGGGCCCGGACCCCGGCACCCGGCACTCCAGCCCGTCCCCGCACGGCGGGTCGTGCGCGCGGCCGCACGGCTCGCCCTCCGCCTGCGCGCACACCAGGCAGCAGCCGCAGCGGTCCGGCGCGTACCCGCCGGGGCAGAGGGGGCTCGGGCAGCCGCTGACGTCGCACCGGGCCGGACACCGCGCGCCGGGCCCGGCGTGGACGCGCGGGCCGAGGCGGAGGAGGACGGCGCAGAGCAGGAGGAGCCGCATTCTGTCTGGGAGCTGGAGGAAGTGCAGCAGCTCAGGGTGACGCGGCCATCATGGCTCCGTGCGTGCTGAAATGTGAAGTACGTGGAGATGGGAGTCAGACAGAGCAACTGGACAGCCCGGAAAACGCCCACCGCCGCGGCCGTCTGGGTGTCAGCGCGTAAAAACCGGAGTGTGTGTCTGTCTGTGTGTGTTTGTGAGTGTGTGTGTGTGGAGAAAAGCTCGTCATCCCGTCCTGAAACTACGTCCCACCTCCTTGCAGAACTCTGCCTGAGAGTAGACAGCACTTTTGGGTCGACAGAGTCTACATCACGGTTTGTAAACAGTGACAGTGGTGCGTAATGGCTCTCCGTGCGGCCCAAAAACCAGCAGACAGCTTTGTTCTGATATTTCACCAGCAGATGTGAAACTCAGCCCCCTGGGTGCTGCACAGTGTCTACAGTGTCTGAAGTCAAACTCAAGATGGGAGTCTTATTTGATTTCAGCCATGGAAAAATAACCGTTTAGAATGTTTGCAAAATATATTACATCATGGTATTTCATAGATGCCTTCCAGTTAACCCTATAATGCCAAATGTGTCATATCTGATCCGGTTTCTTTTGGATCTGAGACTTTCTGCATCATTCAGTGGTAAAAGCTTTGCTCAAACCCCTGTTGTACACATTCAGATATACCTGATAACAGCCAGTAGAAGACTACACCAACATAGATTTCTGACTTATTGCACGCTAATTTGATCAAAATAATTTCTGTTTTTTTTCTTCATATGTTGTTGAGGGGCCAAAGAAAGACTTCAGACTAAAAAAATCCAATATTCTTCCTATTTTTCTTGGATCAGGCTTTAAAGGGTTAAATCCAGTTCCATTTCAGTGTGTTACAGTCATAATACAGTTGATTATGATTGTAATCCAGATTAGTCAATTTGTCCTAAACATAGAGGGAGTAAAACAATTGCCTTGCTGAGGCAGTTTCAATCTAATCTGTGTTCTCAGATTAGATGGAAACCAATCCACATAATCAAACACTTCTATTTAAAAACAGGCATAAGCAGCATATCAACATCCAGCAACATTAGGCAGCAATCTAAAGGAAAATACTAGTTCAGGATGATCAAAGTAGTAAGATATAACAATAGGATGCTAAATTAAAAGTCTATAAAGGACACATGAAGCAGGAATCCACCTTAAACAGCATGCCTGGGTAATACAATGCCTGAGTGCTAAACATGCTAATTGATAATTTTCTATCTAATCATATACTGATGGAGCAAATTGAAAAGCACGAAAAGTGACACAAAAATGCTAAATTAATTCACTGGTTTGTAACTTTTATATGTTGCAGTCATTTTCCAAGACGGAAATTATTTTCAAACAGTTGGGTTCAATCAGTTTGCAGAATGAAGATCCATAGAACTTCTGAACACATTTAATGATGCTGTTTTTGTATTTGAAATGTCTAGATGATCCTTTTTTTGCAACCAGGTCAGCTCTTCATCCATCAAACCTATAAATAGCTCAGAGGTTTTATGAAACTGGAGTTGTTTTTCCTTCATTCTAAAAAAAGAGCTTGAGGACAGGCTTTTTCTTTTCCCTTATAGGGGCAATTCTAGCCCACCTTACAGAGTAGGCCTACACACTCACACCTAAACCTTTGGTAATGTTTTGAGGAGCTTTTCTCTCCTCAGATCCCTTGATAGACTCCAATGACTCATGGCAGCTGAAATCTTTCCTCCCCTGTTGAATCTCTGAGATAAGGATTGAGAAATTATCCATTATGTGAATTCTGACTTTCAGAAAAAATGCTTAGTGGGTAAATAAGATGTTGTCAATATATGGGAAAATACCCCAATCCTCATCCAAAAAAGAGTTCTGATCCAACCTGAAGCCTGCTGCTCATCCTGTGTCCTGTGTCTAGTGTAAAATGGTTTTCCTAAGGTAGTATTTTCTGGGTTTGGAAACCAGAACAGAGTGTGGGTCATCACTGAAACGCTCCGTTAGGAACACGGAGGTATGCACGGCTCCCGAACACAGATGATCTCACTTGGCAAAAATGTTTTTCCTCCTCATGTGCTGCTTCACACATGAACAGAAGCACAGTGACCCCTCCCCAGGGTGAAGCTGTTTAAGACCCCGCCCTGCTTTATGGGCTGTGGCCGGAGAGGGGAGGCCGGCCCGTGTCTGTGAATAAAGGCCCTCCACGTTTGTTTGAACGCACAACAGGGCTGAGACAGATGTAACTGGCTGAGCTGTGGGAATGTTTATTTGAAGCAGTTGTCCCTCCAGGAGACACAAGGCTCTTTGTGAGAGGGGTCTGTGGTATTTGGGAAGGCCCTGGGGGACTGATGTTTTTGTTCAGTGTCTCCTGAATGATGGACATTGTCTGCATTTTATCTTGCTGCTGTTTCTCTGTGTGTAACCTTCATGTTAACCAAAGAAAGAAATGCTCAAATATGTGAATGTGATAGCAATGCACTAGCTTGTTGTTTGTAGTCTAACTTTCAGGATTCATTGAAGATTTTTTACTCTTAAATGAGGACCATCTTGAGCTCTAGATGAAAAATTGAATTTTTAAAGAATATGTAATGCTTCGGTGGATGTTATTTTTCAGAAACAAACTCAGTGCTGATGAAATGAGATGATCTATTAAATGAGAACAGGAGCTTCTGAAGAAAGAGTCGAATCTACATCTGGATGCCAGACCCTGCAGACCACCTTCAGAGTTCTGACAGACTTCAGAGAATGGAATGGAGGAGCTCCACGAAAAGGCACGAGTCCATTAAAGAACTGAAATCATAATTAGATATTATAATTAGTCAAAATAAACAAAAAATAATAGAAAACAAGGGTGGCACGGTGGTGTGGTGGTTAGCACCATCGCCTCACTGCAGAAGGTTCTGGGTCCTGGTCCCTGGGGGAACCAGGACCAGAGGGTTCTGGGTTGGAGTCCCGGGGGAACCAGGACCAGAGGGTTCTGGGTTGGAGTCCCAGGGGAACCAGGACCAGAGGGTTCTGGGTTGGAGTCCCGGGGGAACCAGGACCAGAGGGTTCTGGGTTGGAGTCCCGGGGGAACCAGGACCAGAGGGTTCTGGGTCGTAGTCCCGGGGGAACCAGGACCTTTCTGGGTGGTTCTGCATGTTCTCCTGTGTCTGTGGGTTCTCTCCGGGTTCTCCGGCTTCCTCCCACCCTCCAAAAACCTGCATGTTAGGTTGTTGGACTCCAAACTGCCCTTAGTGTGAGTGTGTGTGGTTGTTTGTAGTTGTGTGTCTCTGTGTGTCCCTGTGATGGACTGGGAACCGTCCAGGGGGACCCCGCCTCTCCCCATTGGCTACTGGGATAGGCTCCGCCCCCCCCGACCCCATTAGGGAATAAGCAGTAGCAATAATGGATGGATGGTTGGATGGATGGGAAAAAAAAGGACAAGCAATAAAACATAAAAGGAAAGTATTTGGATTTCTTTGTTCATTTATTTATCTTTAAATTAAAAAAACTACCTTTCTTTCTGTTGTGTGAATTCTTTTGGTTCTTTATATCTGAATTTCGCATTCATTCATTCCTTATTAATTTTCATGAGCCCTTTTCTTATTTCCATTATTTTATCTTAAGCTTTTTTCCCTTAACAAATACATTTCCAGATAAAATAACAAATGCAATTGTACAAAAACTTTAAAAGAAAAACTATAAACTTCAAGCAAATACTGCATAATGAGATAAATTAACTCTGAACTTGGAAAAAAGAATAAGATTCTAACAATTAAATAGACTGAAAACCATGTAAAAGAAGATCAGACAGGTGCAGTGGAGCAGGTTAGAAAAGGTCCTCGTACTCTCATCAATTTCATTTTAATTGAATTTTAAAATCTAAAGATTTTGAGAGGTGTTCCAGGAGACATGAGTCTCTGGGCAGTTCACCAGTTCACGCAAGAACAATTTAGGGCTTTGCGTTCTGAGGCCTTCTGCTGGCAGTTTCTCTGTCTCTGTGCGCTGTTTTTGTTTCATTTCTCTTTTTAAACTTCCAGTTGCACAGCATAGTGTGGATTTCTCGTTGAAATTGCCACCACAAAATTCTTCCGCATTATTATCCTGGTTTTAATCATGCTCGGAGTACCTTAATCCTGCCAAAGTACTCATCCCGCCAGGAATTGTAAAATCAATTCCATAATATTTTAAATTCTTGCGTAACCACGCCTATTACACAAATACTGTACAGCAACAGTGTCCAATAACACACTGTAAGAAGTTTATGACTGCAGGACTGTCCACTTAGTCTAAGATGATTGTTGCTCTTCCTCCATTTGGAACAACAGAGGGTTCCCGGTTTGAACCTTTAGTTCTTTTCTGGGTGGAGTCTGCATGGGTTTTCTCCAGTGACTCCAGCTTCCAAAAACCTGCGTGTTAGTTCACCTGGACACTCAGAATTGCTCTTAGGAGTGAGTGTGTGGTTGTGTGTCTCTGTGTGTACTGGGATGGACTGGTGACCTGTCTCTCACCTGCTGTCTGCTGATAGGCTCCAGCCCCCGAGCAGCTGGGTTGGATGATGTTTATTCTTATTTCTTTTTGGTGGAAACCACCCCGGGAACTGTTTCTCTGTTTTACACGTAGAATTCCTTTAGTGGATCCGTCTTTATTAACAATTCTCTAATGAGTCAGAGTCCACAGACATTGACATTACACAATCACATTCTGTGTGTGCAGTGTACTGCCCCCCCCACCCCCACCCGTCATGGTTTTCTCTCTTACAGAGCTCAGGTCACACCCAATAACTAGAGTAAATCTGAACAAGTCTGGACTTCATTTAGCACAGTTACACAGTTACACAGCCTCTGGCCGCCAGCAGACGTCAGCCTGCCAGGATTTAAAAGTTTGCATTGCATTAAATCATTGGTCCAATGTGACAGCAGATATTCTGTTGGCGGTCACTGTATCCTGACCTTCCATAGCTTCCTTATCTGAGTGTCTAACACACAAGCGCGGTTTATATTAAGGCCAAAGGAAGGTCCACCAGCTTGGGCAATTATTTTAAAAAATATCTTGATTTCTATCTCCATTATTTAATTAATCTCATAACAATTGGTTGTCTTTCGAGTAGCAGGATGCAGAAAAGTTCCTTTTGTCGAGTATCAATGATGAATGTGACCTGGCCTTACACTAGAGTGAGGGACAATTTAGACACTGAAGTACACACCTTTTTTAGTTTAAGAGCACAGGAGGAAGATGAGGAATGTGATTAATGACTTTTCATGGGAGGTAATTGAAATTTGTATTTTTTTTGTTACAGACACTATTCAAGAGAAAGAAGCATCTACAACAAGTCTTACCGGTATGTATTTAATCAGAGTTAAAGCCAGACGTGTTACAGGCACTTTTCAGAAAAACAGATCCGCGGTATGATTCTGTTTATGTTAATATATCCATTCAAAATGTCAAAAATCTTCAAGTGTAACATCTTTCTGTGTCAATGTCTCACATTACAACATGGACACCTGTGAATTTTAAACCAGTGATGGCCATGTATGTAGAACATTCTCTAGGGTGTGTAATATTCGTAATTACATTAAGACCGCTGCTTATCTCCAATCAGTCTGTGATGTTAGAGCCTACAAAGAGTGTATTTATCTTTAAGATCTGCACACCGTGATATCCCTACAAATAAATGAAAGAAAACTCCTAAGGGTCCACATTGATTGTGGAGCACCTTCAGCTACACACCTGCTTCTACAGAGGTTTGGCTATACATTTATTACAAATCAAGCTTTTCCAGAACTGTAAAATGTGTTTTTGTTCTCGGGGTGGCAGTTACAGGAACGAGATTCTTTTCTTCTCTGAGATCTCATACTTCAAGAGAACAGATACAAAAATAACTAAACTCGGAAAAAGCAAAACAACTCTCAAAGGAACTCCAAAGGAACCAAATGGGAGGATGACAGAGAAACAGACTCCCCCTGAAGCGTAAGTCTCACCCACGCTTAGTTAAGTTCATAGTCTGAGATTCACAATCTGTGTTCCTTCACAAAAATGATCAAATAATGAGAAGAAATAAATCCGGATTATCCTGTGATGGACGGGTGAACTGTCCAGGGTGACCTCTCTCCCATTGACCACTGGGATAGGCTCCAGTTCTCCCCGATAATGGATGGATGGATAAATTATGATGAAAAATGTCCAACACTTTAATGTTTAGGTACTTTGTATTTACCTGGGGATAAGCTTTAAAGGAAAACGTCTGTAACTCTTTTACTTACATTTTATAGAAAGTGGTGCAAATCTGCATAATATTAAAGCTATTACTCTCCATGGTATAACCTGTGAATAAGTGTTATATAAAAATCAATGTGTTTAAAAATGTCTGGAGAAAGTAGTCTGTCCCTTTTGTATCTTTGTCTTCTACTCTCCAGAGTGGTTGTACTGCGACA